AACCCTAATTTCCCTACTTAAACTCTGCTTTGGCACTCGGAAAAGTAGAACAACTCTTTCCATACAAAAGTTAAGTGCTCGTGAGTGCCGGAGAACTGTTTGTTGCAAGGAAAGGGGGCTTTTGGAACCTGGTGTGAGGCTAGAAGCGATAAGAATCACTAAGTGGAGTTCTTAGTGGATTGTGTGTCTGTGCCGTCTCTAGGGAAAGTCTGTTCTTCATCTCTTGTGGATTTCAAGAGAGGTGTTTTCTCGATCTTTATCTGTTCATTTGTAATCTGTTTGTAACAATTTGTTCTTAGTGACGGCGTTAATCCTCTTTTGAGTGATTAGCAACTCGGACGTAGGGTCTTTTGATCCGAACCAGTATAAACCTACTTTGTAATCTTCTCTACTCTTCTCTATTTACATTTACGCAGTTTTTAATCGGTAAAATTTGGGGAAAATTTTGAAAACCTAATTTTTATTAAAAATCCAATTCACCCCACCTCTTGGTTTTTGTCCGACCACGCGAACATTCCGCTGCGCGATTCTAACAAGGACTCCATCATCAAATTTGGATCCCCAGGAAGCTGACAAACTCCTCGGTGAATCCCAAGAGAAAAAGAAAATCTCTTCATTCCGCTCAATAAAGAGCCTCACAAAGTCAGAAGCTCAAAACTAATCAAGGATTAGATCCCCAAGAGAAAAATTCCCCAGGGATCTCCAAAAAAAAAGAGGAAGAAAAAGATATCTTTTTCATCCACAGAAAAAAGCCAATGTGCATAAAAGGCGCACATATAAACACATTCCCCAGCAGGAATAAGAGCATAGGCAAAACCAACTCAAATAGCAGCCAATAAGGAGTAAAAAACTTCATCCCTCCCTAGGGGGCAATTCAAAATAGATCCCCAGGAAACAACCAAATCCCTGGTGGATCACCAAAAAGAAAATCCCCCAGCAAGCCTACCATCAAAAGGAAAAATACAAAATTCATATCCTCAGGGAGTTAACCATCTGGAACACCCAATAGGAATATCCCCAACGAAGTGCAAAACCTTCACTCCCAAGAATGCCTAAGGCAAGCAAAAAACTGATATCCCCAAGAAATGGGAAATCAACCTATAAGAGGTAATACAAGCACAAAGCTTTCAAAAAGCATCCACCTACTCAGAGGTATTATCAAGAACAAATATCCTCAAGTAGAACATCAACCTATTCAGAGGCGAAAAACAACAAGTAAAAAGCCTTCACCACTATTGAAGCACCCGCCTAATCAAGAGGCACAATCAAAAATCAACAAATCCCCAGTGGATTCCCGCCTAAATAAGAGGCAGCCAGCAAAGAATCCCCGGCAAAGCCGGATGGCTAAACAAAAAAAGCCAAAAACAAAGAATCCCCGGCAAAGACCGGATGGCTAAAAGGAAAAGCCAAAACCCAAAGAATCCCCGGCAAAAGCCGGATGGCTAAAAGAAAAAGCCAAAACAAAGAATCCCCGGCCAAGACCGGATGGCTGAAAGAAAAAGCCAAAACAAAGAATCCCCGGCCAAGACCGGATGGCTAAAAAACCAAAAAACAAAGAATCCCCGATAAAACCGGATGGCTAAAAGAAAAAGCCAAAACAATGAAATCCCCGGTAAAACCGGATGACTAAAACAAAAAAAAAGTCAAAAAGAAAATCAATCACTCCCCATGGAATAGGCGCATGATCAGAGACAATAAGCCGCCAACACATCTCAAAAAACCGGATGAGGATTTGTACTCATCAAAAGACTGACTGCCAAAAAGAGAATCCTAAGAGCCTTGCAAAACGGGGCTCGTCAGAGAGTTTAGCAAACGCAAACTCAAACATAGTGGGGGAAAGTACCCACAAAAATCTAGCAAATACAGACTCGAACTAGGTGGGGGTTTGTACTCACAAGAGCCTTACAAAAGAAAGGTTCGGATCAGATGAGGGTTCATTCTCATCAAACCAGATAGGGGTTGGTACCTATCAAAACTATTCATCATCCAAAGGATCGGCTACCTTACCGAAGGAGCATCCTGCAGACCGAAGGATCGGCTACCTCACTGAAGGAGCATCCTGCACACCGAAGGATCGGCTACCTCACCAAAGGAGCATCCTGCACACCGAAGGATCGGCTACCTCACCAAAGGAGCATCCTGCACACCGAAGGATCGGCTACTTCTCCAAAGGAGCATCCTCCAAACCGAAGGATCGGCTACCTCACCGAAAGAGCATCCTGTACACCGAAGGATCGGCTACCTCACCAAAGGAGCATCCTGCACACCGAAGGATCGGCTACCTCACCAAAGGAGCATCCTGCACACCGAAGGATCGGCTACCTCACCAAAGGAGCATCCTGCACACCGAAGGATCGGCTACTTCTCCAAAGGAACATCCTCCAAACCGAAGGATCGGCTACCTTACCGAAGGAGCATCCTGCAGACCGAAGGATCGACTACCTCACCGAAAGAGCATCCTGTACACCGAAGGATCGGCTACCTCACCAAAGGAGCATCCTGCACACTGAAGGATCGACTACCTCACCAAAGGAGCATCCTGCACACCGAAGGATCGACTACTTCTCCAAAGGAGCATCCTCCAAACCGAAGGATCGGCTACCTTACCGAAGTAGCCTCCTGTAGACCGAAAGATCGGCTACCTCACCGAAGGAGCATCTTGCAAACCAAAGGATCGGCCACCTCATCGAAGGAGCATCCTACAAATCGAAGGATTGGGTACCTCTCCGAAGGAACATCCTAAGGCTTCACACTCGTCAGCTACGGGGTCAGCTACCGCATCAAAGGAGCATCCCAAAGCTACGAAATTCATACTCATCAACCACAGGATCAGCTACCGCATTAAAGGAGCATTCTGGAAGTTCACATTCATCATCCAGAGGATCAGCAACTTCAGCAAAGGAGCAGCATCCAAAAGATGACCGGGCAAAAGGGTTAACTCCTTCCCCTACCAACTAATTTTGTCGGCATATCAAACCGACAAATTAGATAGGCAGGTGAAGGGGGGGCACCTGTAGACCCCTAATTTTGCCCGGCCTCTCAAAATAAAAGCTAGGGAAACTTCATACAGTTCACCCCGCTTCATATCAAAGAAAAACCAAGAAAGACCTCCTGCAACAAGACGGAGTTCACCCATCCACACAATAAAGACTAAGGAGACTTCCTACACGAAGATAAAGCTCGCCCAGCATCTTAATGAAGGCCAAGAAGACTCCCTATATGAAGATAAAGCTTCAACGGACACACATCGGCATCAAACGACGTCCGAAAAAGGAAAGGAAAGCTTCCCGGGGTCCCAGAACACAAGAGCTGCTGAAAACAGGTCGAGACAGCCGTCCCAAAGTTGGGACGGCCGTCCCAAATGACACTGGCCGTCCCAAACTTGCCAGGGGTGGAGTCAAGAACAAAAAATTCAACTAGGACGGCCGTCCCAAACACAACTGGCCGTCCCAACCTAACTCAGTGCAAATTTTGCAGCTGGGACGACCGTCCCAACCCAGACGGCCATCCCAAAGTTCCAGGCGAAAAAAGGCTATAAATAGGAGGTCCTTAGGTCATTCTCCACACCCCAGAAAACTCCAAGACTTGTCTTCTTCTCTCCCTCCTTCGAATGATCTCTCTGATTGCCTTTAATAGGTAACAATCAGTTAAGGAATTTGTGTTCCGGCATTCGATTCTTCTAGAAATCTTAGTCGAGCCGAGTCTGTATTTGAGAGGAGAGTTGCTGTAGAGCGAAGGATTGCCGCAAAGCATCCTCTGTGTAAAAGACTTATAATATAAAGCTTGCTTCGGAGGTTCTTCTCAATTCTCTTCTCTTTTAATGCTTTATTTATTGCTTTTTGTATGCAATGTAGATAAAATCATGTAGATAGCCATATTTAAATACTGTATGAATAAAAGAGGGTAATAGCGTAATTTCTCGTAATCCTTACTTAAATGAATTAATCCGTCATAGGGAACCCGAAAGGGGCGTTGTGGGGTGCTAATACCTTCCCCACACGTAACTAACTCCCTTACCCGACTCTAGTTATAATGGCCAAGTTTGGTTTTTATTAAAATCAATGCCTTTTTCTCCTTTTCCAATGTTTATGGTCAAAACATTGGTGGCGACTCCAAAAGAACCCTTTTCGAAAACCTTGCTTCTATTAGAGGATAGTTCAGTGTTGAGCGCCTCGGAAGCAATGAACATATTTTTAACAAAAATGCGAGTCTCAACCATCTTTTCGCGACCGCTCGCATTAACGTTCGAGACGTCCCAGGACGTCGGAACGGACGGTGGCGACAGGCCCTAAACCAAAGCTTTGATCGCTGCGCTCCCCCCTGTGAGTCCTCTTACCATACACCACTTCAAATAGTGACTTCCTCCCTTACTTAACATAGGCCGATTCAAATCTAAATTCAGAATAGAATGGGTGTTAAGGCAGTGGAGCAAGATGACAAGTACCAGGGACTTCCCACTTTTTTAGTTTATAGGGAGATCAAATAAGCAGGTATTTTGTATTGTTCAAGATCGGGTATGGAAGAAGCTTTAAGGGTGGAAGGAGCGTAGCCTCTGTCAAAGGCAGGCAAGGAGGTTCTGATCAAAGCTGTGGTACAGGCTATCCCTACATTATGAGTTGTTTTAAGATTCCTCAAACAATATGTGATCAGATAGAGTCATTGATTAGCAAGTTTAGAGGTCTCGGCTTCAGGAAGTTCTCTTGTTTCATTTAAATCAGGCTCTCCTGGCAAAGCAAGACCAGAGATTAGTTCATAATCCTGAGTCTTTGGTATCCAATATTTTCAAAGCTCAGTAATTCCCCATAGGATAGGTTATTTTATCCATGCTAAGTTGGGGTTTTGTCCGAGTTACACGCGGAGGAGCCTTTGAGAAGCAAGATGGATTATTGAGAAAGGGTCGAGATTTAGCATTGCCTCTTTTTTAAGGTTACTACAGAGGTCCTCAAACTAATCCAGCCCAACATGCCCCTGCTCATTTCCAGAAAGTCCGTGAAAGAAAAATGCAACTGTTCATGCAGCCTGCACATGATTCGCCCAAAGAAAGAGGGGGTTCTAATCCACTCAAGACATCTGAAGGTACGGAGGAGAATAAAATAAGCAGATGAAAGCATTGGAATAGAAAACAGAACCTCGCAGAAATGAAATCTTTGAGAGAAGGGTTGCGACTGGCAAGAGACTGAAAGATTAGGAATCTACAAATCGAACTGATTCCCTTGTCTATTGATTGATCTGTGTAGATATATGCCTACCACATTGGAATTCACAATAAAATGTGTCTTTGTTCCAACTACCGCCTAAGCCCTATACAGAGCAGAGGATAGGTCGGTTCGCTTGAAGAGAATCTTTTCTATGATCAGATCTGAATCTTCTTGTACATCAGCAGGCTCCGTCGGATCCAGTCCAGTATAAATGAAAGCCCTAGTCTCCTTTCTTACTGGAAAGAAAGAGAGGGGTAGGAAGGCTAAGAGATGGCGCAGTAGAAGGCCTATCCAAAAACTTTGAATCTTTGTTTTTGTTATAGAGAATAGAATCGATGTCCAAAGCTTCATCGACAGTAATCGGTGTAAGAATAAGAAAGCAAGGGACGAGGAGCATATAAGTAAGGCAAATGTAAAAGACTTAGATCAAGCTAGGGGAAGCGCTTTCAGGCTCGTTCACTTAGCAAATCTCTAATTAGTCTTATCTGGTGTCGGCCACAGTCCAAGAAGTAGTCTTTTCCCATTTTCTAGCAAGAAGAAGTAGGGATTCGGCGCTACTATTAGATTAGATTAGAATAGAAGAATATAGATAAATCACACGGACTCAAGCCAGCAAAGACTATTTATAGGTACAGGTCGATCACGGATTCAAACTATAGCAAAGAAGACAACTAGTCGATCCGGGACTGAGATGCAAAGACAAAGGAATATGATAGAAGGAGTACAAGAAGCAATCAAAGGAAGGAATGCAGGCGTTGATAAGCGTAGAGGGGCTAGAAAGAGAAGTCTTGGTCGATAGGCAGAACAGGGCTAATGGTGTGTATAAGCCCAAAAGGAAAGGTCCTTGTCGTGGAACCGACATATAAATAAAGAAATATAAATAAAAGAGCGGTGATTTTGATTCCCTTCCACTACTTATTGATGAGAAGAAGCCCGACTCACATAGAAAGGGATCCACCATGGACGAGAAGAAATGCGAGAAAGAAAGGGAAAAGAAAGGTCTTACTTTAGCGACCTGATGTAATTCAGTGAAAGATTGTATAAGGATTGAGAATAGGGACATCACAAGAACTTTAGTATCATCACTAGGATGAAGGGTGGAACCTAACTTTCTATTTGCCACTGATTATCCTAGATCAATTCCCCCTAGTTTTGATCCAAATGGGATTTATTCCATTTGGGATACATACACCCTCGCCCCCCTTTGCGGGTTTTCGATCTAGCAGGCTACCCTAGCTTTTGCCTAAGAATCTCCTAGCAGGCATTATTCTTTTTGTTTATATTTTTTCTTTCTCTTCTTTTTTTTGAGAGATAGGACCCTGTGCATGTATGCAAAGTTCGTGATATGCATCCTATAATACTATTTCAATTAATTTTTCAAAAGGATTAACCAATGTGCTTTTACTTCTGATGAGCTTCTGACGTTATGTGCTTTGTCGACATGATAGGTTGTACCGATTTTGCCGTCTCAATTTTTCCATGACCGAAGAATGATTGTGTTGATTGTAGAGTGACTTTCCATGTTAGTGTGCCCCTCCCTTTCCTTGGGGATGTCAATCCTCCTATTGATTACTATCTCCACATTTCCCTACTACTTACTAGAATGTCGTAGTGGTAAGGGTCAAGAGAAAATAAGGAAGAAGATATTTAATTCAAGGGCTTGTGTTTTAGAAGTGTTTTATTTTGACAAAAAATGGTTTTTGTAAGCACGGCTAGCCAAGGTTGGTTAGAGTGTTTAGGCTAATTTAAACAACATTTTGTTTATGGAGTGGTGTCTTATTCTATGGCGCTTACTATGAATGATTGACTTCCCTAGTCCGCCCTTTGGGTTTTTAGTCTAGGATGTTGTGTTTTGTTTTGTCCTAACTTTTGTTTAGGTTTCTTTTTTCTTGCTTTGGGAAACCTAGCGGACTTTATTTTGTAACCCTAATGTTTTCCTAGGCTACCCTTTATGGTTTTTCGGGTTTCCTAGCGGGTTTACGCTAACTTTTGTGTAGCCCCCTTTGGTGGGTTTCCTACAGGGTATCTTGCCCTCTCTTTTTGGCCTTTGGCTTCTTTTGATTTTCTTTTCTCTTTGCACAACATTGGTGAAACATGACTTTATTATGATGAGGTGGAACCTTATTTTGTATTTCTAGTCAATCAGTGATGATGGATTTGACTTTTATTTTGGTCAATGGCATAGTTTGATTACTTTGATGCATTTTGAAAATGTTTGCTTAAACATGGTTATTAATGAGGTTTAAATATGAATAATAGGAAGAGAAACAGATAGTAAGAATGACATTCTTTGTAATTAGTAGGGAAATATGTGTCCTCCAATACTCGGGGGTTGGGCTAGCCCCGAGGAGTAATCTCTAATAGTCATTGGATTTACAAACCCTAAGAATCAGAAGGAGAACACCTAATGACTAAAGTCGCTTTTGACGCTTGAACCCCTCTATTTGGGAAAATTTGATTCAAGGTGTGGAGGGGAGACTTCCCTTTTCTCCGTGTAGCTTGATCCTTTGTAGGGTAATGCTTTAGAGGATTTTAAAATCTGGTGGCTCCCTTATTCCTTGAAAGTTTCTAATGAGCCCTTGGTTTGGGCAGCACCCATATTTCCTTATCATGTGGGTCACCTTCATATTGTTGGGGAAGTCTTTTCATATTGGCAAAAGGTTTTTCAAAGGTCCTCTTCAGCCACATTCATTCAAAGTAGGGCAGAGAGCTTGTTGATCTGAATGCCGTCTTTAGATCGAACCATGACCAACTTGTTTCCTACCATGAGTTTGTCTTTTTGGTGGAGCATTGAAAGGACTACCTCAGTGTCGTGAATCCAAAGTATACTCAGTTTCCTCTCTGGATTATGTTTTTCTTCGGTCTTATTATTTTTCCTTTATTCTTGGGAGCATTGTCTTGTAGCTCCTTGGGGGAGTAGATTCTTCTACTTCTAATCCTGCCCCCCAATGCGGGCTATGCTAGAGATATCTTCATTGATGGATGATGTTTCTGCGTATCTCCATGGTACAACTTTATTTGATGTATGGGTGAACAAATGTAACGGTATCCTTGCCCCCTCTTCCTTATTAACTCGGATACCCAACGGTTGAGGCTTATCATCCTGCTTAGGCGGATCAACCGTTGGAGAGAACTTGACGATGAAAGGTTTGCTCTTCATCTTATTCCAATTCATGGGAAGCACATCAATTAATCCTTTCTTTTTATTATCTTATTATTATTAAAGTGAGAATGAATGCAATTTATGAATGCTATAGACGATTGAAGAGATGATGAAAACAAACAATTTTATTTATTTCATCCAGACAGTGTACAATGCAATGTTTCGAAGTACACTTTTTTTTTTAAAACGGAGAAGCCTAAATGAACCCATAGGCGGGTTATAATTTCTATTTGATTTCTCTTTTTTTTTTTCTACTCCCCGTGCATGGCATGTGAATGCCCTACCCTCTTTTCATGGTATTGAGGAATGTTCACTTTCTTCAACTGTCTATTGTTAGATGCATGTTATGAGGATGAAGTTTGGTGGATGCATGTATGTAGGTGTTTGTGTTTTTCCTAAACATTATCATGTTTTATTTTCTAACATGATATATGATAGTGTTTGGGATTTTGTGTTTTTTTTTTATGTGGATGAGGGCGTGAAGAATACCAGTCGCCTTCTAGAATACAAAAGTAATTTAAGAACGTTTATTTTGATTTTTGAAATAAAATGAATGATTAGTGTAGGATAGTTATGCCTTAAGACAATGGTTTTAGTATCGCCCTTAAAGCTTACGCTTCACAGAGCACCATACCCACTTTGGTATAATGGTTCCTTCGTCATAAAGGTCACCATATATCTTAACACACTTGTCTCTTCCTTATAAAAAATTACAAGCGCACTTGGGCCTCTTTCACCTTTGTCTTAGGGATATCTAATGCCTCCTAGAATGAATGTATTCATGCATGCACTAGTAAAAAAAGGACTTTTTATGATAAAAGGGGTGGTAGATGTTCAAAGTGCGATACCTTTTAACTGGGATATCGGATTTGGACGCACAACATATCAAAACGAAGAGAAAAAGGTGAAGAACAAGTTTCCAAATACCTAAAGGGGATTTAGCCCAGCAATTTTCCCAAAAAATGCTCCTAAGACCCATTTTTTTGGGGATTTATTAAGATGATGCGTATGCATACTTTCCTTATGCATTTATTTTCTCTCTTGGTTTTTCCACTTATGATGCGATATGAATGATACGACTTTGTCAAAATTATTTTATTTATTTTTGTTCTCGGTCTTTATTTGATTTTGTTTTGTTTTCTTTTAGATCCTTTTATCTCTTCTGTCGGACTGCGTGACTACTTAGCTTACAAAGAGCCTGAAACCAGGCTAGCTAATGGGCAGACTGTCCGAGATAAAATGGTTTTTTGCGAAAGAATAATATTAGCATCCCTTATCTCTTCTATCGGACTGCGTGGCTACTTAGCTTACAAAGAATCTGAAACCAGGCTAGCTAAAAGGTAGACTGTCCGAGATAAGAGTGTTTATTGTGAAAAATATTTTTCTGTTGTTTGGTTATGCTATGCAATCAAATGCAACAAACAAATGCACACACAATTCACTCATCCGCGATCAGGCGAGAAGTCGTTTTAATCACGAGGTAGGGTTTTCCTGCAGAAAAGTGTTTTGGCAAGGGTAGGTTCTAACTGTTCTCACCAAGGCTTAGGCCCCTAAGGTGCCCCCATTATAGGGTCCCCACTGTCCAGCCTTCCGACCATGCTTAGCACTAAGGCCATAGTTAGTCTTTGTGCCAAAAGAGGAAGGTTATCACCTTGAGTGGTGGTTTCCGATCACACTGGTGGGCTCAAGGCCATCACTACAGTGAACCGTACCTGCCACCCACTCCCTATGGATTTCTCACTTGCCCCCGGGTAAAGAGGGAACTATTGTGTGCAAAGGTTTGTGTACATTTTGTATTTTAAACAATTGCGTAAAATAAAAAAACAACAGTTATTAAAGCCAAACATGTAAACATGTTATAATACAAGGTAGGGTAAAAGCGAAATTTCTAAGTTTATTTATTAAACTGGCCCATCACTAAATGGGATCAACTCTCTAGGCTTCCACAGTGGAGTCGCCATCTGTCGCCGCCATCAAAAGAGGCGGTCGGAGCGACGCGATGGTTCTGACCTCCATTTTTCGCGTTTAATATGGGTGGGGTTACAACACATTTAGGTTGTCCAATAACCGGGCTAACCTAAGAGCAAGATTGAGAGGGTTCTTATGGAGTCGCCACCGATGTTTTTACCAGAAACATCGAAAAAGGAATGAAAAAGGCATTGGTTTTTTAAGAAAAACCAACTTTGGTCGTTAAAACCAGAGTTGGGTAAGGGAGTTAGTTACGTGTAAGGGAGGTATTAGTTCCTCTACGACGCCCCTTTCGGGTTCCCTATGATAGGCCAGTTACTTTATAAATAAACTTTTGAAATGACGCTTTTACCCTTTTATTTGCAGAATTAAAAAAATAATGACTACATGACCCTAGTAGTTATTGAACAATTTAATATAAGTAAAAAGGGCAGCAAAAGAGAGGGAGAGAGTGAAGAAACCTCCGGAGCAAGCTTTTGATTAAGTCTCTTGAAAAATAGGGTGCGTTTTGGCAGCCCTTTGCTCTAGAATGCAGCTTTTTCGCTAAAAAAAATCTCTTAAAACACTCAGAAACTCCGGAAATGCTTCGGAGGGGCTCTAAAAGAGGAATTCTAAGAAGTGCTAAGAGAAAAGATGGCAGAATTGTGTGAAATGAAGGGGAGAGCACCCCCTATTTATAGGGATTCGTGTTTGTCAGGTCGAGACCATCGTCTCACCAAACAAGACGGCAGTCTCGACCATTGCTGATAACGAGACGACGGTCTCGTTAAGTGAGACGGCGGTCTCGACCCTTCAGGTGGGAATCTTTGTTTTTTCGTACAGAAAAGTCTTCCTACTCTAATATGGGGCCTAATAGTCTCTCCTAGTG